AAAAGATATAGTAAAGATATATATAATATTATATATTAATATAAGAAAATCAACTAGAAGAATATGAGAACTAAAAATCTCAAATATTAAAATAACACTTAAAAGAATGATTAAAAAAGTAATTTATAAAGATTAGAGCCTTCTCAAGACTACTATTCAAAATAATAAAGTAAATCATATAAATATTGAAATCTGAAAAGAAACTATTATTAAAAAAAATATCAAAAAAAAAAAAAATAAAATAAAAACCATTAATAAAAATATTTCAATATAATTTTAAATTCAAAGAAAAATTAATTTTTTATTTTAATAGATTACTTATTAATTATAGAAAAGAAAAAATGAAGATAAAAGTTGTTTGGATTCAAATAGAAAAAGTAAGAAGAAAAAATTCATTTTTTTTTTTTTAAATGGAAATAAACAACCATTTTTTATAAGAGTTAAATTGATAGTTATCATAATGATATTTCTAAAAAATTCAAGATGAATATATAAAAAACAATTAAAAAAAATTAATCTCTCTAAGTATAATAATAAAGTTAATAAAGAAGAAAAATAAAACCTAAAGCTTATCAAAGTTAAGATACACTCCAATAATTCTTATAATAAAGAAATAAATACTTTAGTTAATAAAGACCTAAAACTTCTATCAATTGAATAAAAAGATCTTATCTTATACAAGATTATTACAAAAATTAAGTAACAAGATAAAACTTTAAATAATTCAATTAAGTAATTTATTAAGAATATTAATAACAAAATAATAGTCTAATAAAAAAAATAAAATAAAATAAAGATATTAAATTTCAGAACATCAAGTCCATACATGAAATTTAGTGTAAAAAAAAATCAAAAAATAGATATATATAAGATGATCTTTTAAAAAATTTCAACAAAAAATATTTTTATTAAATCAATCAATTATAAATTATTCATATTAAATAAATTGATTATAAAAAGACTTAATTTATATAAACAAATAAAATGTATTATATATAATCAATAAAAAGAAACAATAAAACACTTACTAAAATATTTAATCTATAAGAATCAATTATAAGTGTTATAGAATAAAAAACCAAATGAAATCCTCAAAAACTTCAAAAAGCTCCTATAAAAAAAAAAGAGAGGTCAAAGAAAATATTAAATTGATTATTAATAATTGAGAAGAACTAAAGAGCTTAATAAGTAAATCTTTAAATTAGTAAAAAAATTTCTAAAACTAGTTAAAACATTCAAAGTTTTTATACTGGTTTTATAAGAAATAATCTTATTTTAGAAATGGAAGATCTAAAATATTATGGAAAATATATAGAAAAAAAAGCAAAAAATTGAATGATAGAAAAAATTTTGAAATACAAAATATGAGAAAATAATTAAATAGAAATAAATATAGAGAATTCATAAAATAAATAAAACAAAAAGATCTTTATATCCTTTAAATCGGAAAGCTATACTTTCAAAAAGAAGAAAATTATTACCAGAAAAAGGAAATTTAGAAGATGAAAATTTTAAAAGGATTCTAACAAGAAAAGTAAAATATATAACAAAGTAGTTTAGTTTTAAGCTTTGTTAGAATACCAAAGAATAATTTGTAAAATAATCTGTAAGCAATAAAGTTAGTAGTTAAAAGAATCTTTATTTAAACTACTATTGGAACAATAAATCATTTCAAAGTTATATTTAAAGTTTTGATAAATTTCAAAACAGAAACAAATAAGTTAGATAAAGATTTAGTTTTAGTGATGCATTTCATAATATAAAGTATACAAATATTTAATAAAGCATACATGCCTAGTCTGACAGAGGGTTTTAAAAAATAAATAAATAAATAAATATAACCAAGTTAATACAATAAAAATTTTTTTTTATTTTGCTGTATACAGTATATATTATAATGAACGATCATTTTATATATAAAATAAAAATTTTATAAATATTCATATTATGTATTAGGCATGAACATTAATTATTAAGTTCTAATATTTTTAATATAATTAACTTTGTATAATATAATTAGACAAGTTTATTATTGTTATTGAAAATTAGATAAAATTTTTAGTTTACGAGATAAAAACAAAAGCACTACTGTATAACACATTATACAGTATAAAAATGATATTACAGGTTTCATTATAAAAATCATGATTTTTTACAATAACTTAATAGCAGTAAAAAAAAAAGTGAGAGGGAGAGAGAGAAAACATATTTTATATTGAATTTCTATTTATTCGATTCATATACAGTATTTACTTACGTAAATGCAAACGTTGTAAATTCTTAAAAAACTTTTAAATGCCAACTACAGTAATAATATCAAATTTCGAGAGGACTAATTAACACCAAGGAATATCCAATTCTTGAAATTCCAATTACAATTTGAATCGAAATTACGTACCTCATAATATATTATTGTTTTATTAAATGCACGATGTATTCTGACCCCATTCGAGATTTGAAAACTTGTATTTTATTTATTTATATATATATATATATTTTTCATCAGAAACATGTTCAGGTATGCAACACGTAAGGGTTCAGAATAGATGAATCGATTCGGCATTTAGGCTACCATTGTTTAATTCTTGGCTTGGACATCACAATTAATATAATGACGAATGAACCGATTGTTTTTTCAGGCGGATGCGTTCGCCGTGCAACCATGTCTCAACCATTCAAATTCATCATCAATTTTTAACTGAATTTGGTATATTGGAGAAAATTGTTAGACATCATATCGTGATTCATGCATTCATTCATTATTTGGGGGAGAGAATAGCAAAATTAATCGGTCTCTTAGCTTTAAAAGGAATATTACAAAATATATACCCATATGAATGAAATTGAAATTATTGGTCGTTGTCAGTGGAGGCAAGTCAATAGTCGTAATTAGCCATCGCACGTACACAAACATCCTACTACGTCTTCTCCTTAGCCCTTCGAGACGATGCATTACAGGTGCATACCTGCGTTATTAATGATGTCACGTGTGAATAAACGTACCAGTTCAATCGATTTCTAATCGTTACATAAGGCACTCGACGCGCATTCATTCATTCTTACATTCATTTTTGTCCGCTATAATGATGATAATAATAGATCTTGACCAAGCCTAGACAAAATGGGGATATTCTTATAATAGCAAGCCGACATGATGCTGCAATAAAATCGTTTCTTTAGAGATATTTTACTAGATAAATATGAAAGATATTGACATTGTTTTCACCCAATCCAGCCTTTCGAAATTTGATTTTCGATCAATTTTCCCCAATCAGAAGCAGCCATCATCTTTATCATCAGATAAATGACATTAATGCCCACGTTTTCATAATAACAAAAAATAAAATTTGAAAATTAAATAAAAATGTTAACTATATTTAACGCTTGACATGGTAAAGTTAAATTCAATTGTCCCCCCCAAAAAAAAAAAAAAAAAAAAAAAAACAAAGCAAAACAAAAAGAAAAGAGAAAAAAAAAAAGAAAAAAATTTTTTCGAAAAAAAATTCAAATGCACGTACAGTTTGCAAATTTTTTTAGATGCATATAGACCGATCTGTACTAGAGCGAATGAATGAATGAATGAGTGAATGAGCACACATACGTATAAGCAACACGCATACACGTACGTACTACTAATATAACAATCTAGCAATTATTATGCAGTCATCAGCCCAAATCACCGGTGATTTTTAATACTTGTATTGTTCGGTGCGGTGTTTGTTTTTACGCATATTTTATGAGTAAAATAAAACATGTCATTTTTGGTAGCACATATCCGAATGATTAGATGTTTGATATGACGATTGATTGGGTGACAAAAAAAAAAGGTTTCTATTACTTCTTCGGTCATATATTTCGATAGTAATCCATCTAAGCACAATAGTAATAACGATCAGGTAAACTCGAAAACGTGAGCTCGGTTCGATGAATTGTGTTTTTGGTGATTATTTTTATCCTTCTGTTTGTGGGCGGGAGAAAAAAGGGGGGGGGAGAAAAAAGAGAGGGAGGAGAGGTTTGTTGCGTTTTATCCATATATTATCAACATACAATAAATAACTAAACTGTGTGGTAGTCGTACGTATACTGTGCGAGCACCGTGCAGCTTACTACCAACCGCCATTATTCGCATTTCTTTTTTTAATCAGATAAAAATCTAATCACACTTCACCAATTTTTTTTTATCTATGGTATTCAATGCAAGCACATTATATTAGTGGCATGAAAATAATGTGTCAAAATTTACTTTTGATGTTTCTGCTTGGTGTATGTATGTGCCCTGTGCCTGTCCTCTAGCCTGTTTACAATTTGTTCTATCCATTTTCATGATAGGGACAATAAAGTAGAATAATAATATAAATTTGATGTATTAGAAGGATGTATGAATAAGCATTAACACTGTTTTGGTATTAGACTCCACTTCCTGATGGTTTACTTTAAAAAGAAGATTTTGAAATCTACAAATTTTCATTATTTTTTTTTTTTTTTTTTTTCCTGCAATAATATATTTATATGCCCACTCGAAAATTCTCAAAATAATTCATTAACGAGTATTTTTAACGACCTATCTACGTAACGACTCCAATATTTTTCTGGCTCATATATCAGCACAATTTCCGGTTCTTGAAAACCCATCTCCCCTTTTTACGACCATTCAATCTCTCCTACCGTCGTAAAGCTTTTTTTTTCATTACAACATTTAAAGAAATTTTTTCATTTCAGAAAAAATATATATAAATACACTGCTGATTTCTCACGATCAATCATTTGATTTTAATCTAAACCCCCCAGTCATTCCCAACGGTTTCACTTGTTAATGAAACCAATCGTTACGCAAAAGATTCACGAAATCTTAATTCACTATTTTATATAAGGCTCGCTTTAGTTGAAGAGTTTACTGTTTCTCTGGACATAGAGATCTTCCCTCACAAAAGACCGTCGACCATTATATCACCTCTATATTCGTCCTTTCGATCGAGAGATAACCTTTGTTTATCTGTATAATGCCTCACGCAACTGAGTCATTGAATCTACCTAACGCACCTTCCGCCTCGTCGCCCATTCCAATTCCGGGCTCGACTACCTCGTACGTTCGTACTTCCACCTCCTCGTACGATCCAACCACCACTCCTACAAAGTAAGTCTCGAATATTTCATATGTATACTTTCATTTCTGTCGCCTATCCAATCTTTTCTCCGCTAATCTCGGTTAGTAAACTTATTGGTTACATTGGTTTACATCGATTTTGGCGTTTCTTATCAAGATATTCCTACACAGCTTCTCCACTTGAATCCCCCTCGTACACTATTTGCTCTTTAGATCAATATCTTTTCCTTTGATTTCTTAGTTATCCTATCATTGTAATTTTCGAGATCTTTATTTATTTCTTCATATTCGAACTTCTTCCTATTGATCCATTCCCCTTTCCTTTTGAAAATCTAAATTCCACTCTTCTTTTTCGATGATTAAACTCGATAACCCATACTTTCAAATATGTTCGACTAATCTATTATCTCTGATTTCTAGCATGTCCGATTATGTCGTTGCGACAAAAGAGAGTGCCAACTATGATCAATTCAATTGTGCAAATTTTTCTACAGACGATATCTCCATGTCTCTTCAGCCCGAAGGAAGGGCCTATTACTGCTACGATTATAGTAGATGTTGCAACGAGGAGATCAACAATATACACGATTTCCTTCAGCATACTGACACTCGTCATCCAGGATTGTATGTCGACCCAAATCACGGAATCATGTCGTTCGACGCAAGCTCCATATATTCTCAATGTAAGTCACATGATCTGACATTCTTTTCTTTTACCAAATATCGGACGCTGGTGGATCATCTGATTCTTATATATTCCTACCGAACAATCTTCAATCGTAGCACGCCTACATGCCATTCCCTTCTATTCACTGATGCCCGCAGTTTCCGCATCACATGATCTAAAGATCTCGGAAGATCATAATAATAGGGTTAACAGCGGTAGTCACTTTTCTACCTCCATTTCCAAGCAGAAGTTCATTGCTGAAGACGCGACGTGTGATAAGGATTTGATTTTGACCTACCACCAACTACAATACCCATTACGTGATCCCAACGTAACTGCTACCACATTCCTCGGTGGGCAAACTTCTGGTCCTTCCTCCATTTGTGCAGGTTACGAAGATGATGACCCTTCGGTACTGGACCTAAATAGCAATTCATTCCACACCGATCATGATCCTTTATTCATGATTCCGTCTCCACCTTTGTCCCTCTCATCCTGCCCAACAACACCCGTCTTCTTACAATCTACTGTCTCTTCTCCCTTGGGACTGGAAAATGTCGGTATTCCAGCATATACGTCGATAGTGTCTTCAGAAAATTCTGCTACATCAGCTTTAGGGCAAACCGCGTCACCTTCACACGTTAATTGTGGCACAAATACAAATGATCAACGCGGAGCTCCAACACCCGTGGATCCATCCAACACCGGATCTGAAAACTCAACTATGCCAACTTTAAATCGTCAATCATCTTATGACTCGCACGCGCCGACCTATTCAACGTCTTCCCTAGAAAAGAATGGCCAGAATCGACGTACATCCTTGAAGCCGATTAAAAGTCAGTCGACTACTTACGGATCATTGACGATACCAAATGAGAAATTAACAACCGAACGCGATGGACGACGAGATTTCTCGTCATCAAGGACGGTCAATCCGAATTCGTTGATTAACCGTCAAAACTCTACAGAGCCATACGTCAATTTATCAACGTTTACCCCAGCTAATTACTTACAGACCGGTCCATTAAAAATGGAAAAACCCATCTCTCCTGCCTCAACGTTGCCATCAAATGTCCATTCCGCTGCTTTTATGATGACAACGGCCAAGACTTCTGATCAAGCGCGCGGTCCACACGCATCTCTGAGGCCTCATGCAAAAATGACTTCCTCGATCGATAACACAACGTTGACACCATTCATCCCTCCAATACATCCCTCACCCTATTCGATGACTCCAGTCGACGGTTATCCTTTGGTTGAATATATTTCTGGACAGACAAGCTCGAATCCAGCGATGGCGAAATATCAGAGGATTCAACCAAAAACTGGTAATTAATTCGATCACACGTGAACTCATTCATATCTCATGCGTCTTCCCGGTAATAACCCAACCTTTTTGCTTGTCATAGGAATTTCGGTTTCGATGGCAGACGTATACACGGATCCTTCACTCGGTTGTTCCACAGGTTCTTCTCAGGGTAACAAGAATTCAAAGAAACGAGGTGTATCTTCCTCGTCAGAAGCAAACAAACAGATTAAAAGGAGGGCTTCCAAGGTACTATATAAAGGAGTGGTTTATGTTCTCTCAGAAGTCGACAAATCAAATTAATTCACCAAGTTAATCATTCATGTGTATCCTTACAGTCCTCTGAAAAACCATTTGAAGCTTCCCATGCTTCTGTTATAACAGACGAGCCCATTAGTCTGACTTCTCGAGAAGATACAGACAAATATCCTCACAAGTGTAGTGTGGCCGGATGCCCGAAAGTGTACAAGAATGCCAACGGACTTAAATACCACAACGAGCACGGTCACGTCCCTCAGGTAAGCATAGAGCTTGCCAGCTTCCATTAGTGGTTTGGTTTGGTTTTACGAGAGTTAACAACGATCTCACCTTTTTTGTTTCTTTTTCTCAGAGTAGTAACGGAGCTAGGGAAAAACCTTGGCCTTGCCGCCTTCCGGATTGTCAAAAAGCTTATGGTAGCAAGGGCGGTCTAACATATCACATCAATCATGTTCACCCAAACGATTTATGGGCTTTACCTTGAATTCATTTGGTCACGACCTTAGAGTATGTTTATTTAAGCCAATTTTATTGTATGATGTTTTTTTATTATGACTATGTCCTTACATATATTATTTATTATCATTACTTTATTCCGAACTCGTAGTTAAAACATGAAAAAAAAAAAAAAATCAAAAAAAAAAAAAAAAAAAATCACTGATAAAAAATATGTTTATAATATGGAAAGAAGAATGATTGGATATTATGGAGTTCCGAATTCTTTATAAGCGCAAAAAAAAAAAAAAATATGAATTTTTATATGAAGTCGAACGGGAACTATAACTTCAGCTTCCGTTGTGATTAATGAGGGTAGAACCAATTTTATTTATTTTGTTTCTCACCCATTTTTTAATGCGAACTTTCCTTTTTTATTTTATATAGAATTTTTACGTTTTTTGTTTTTTTTATATACAGTATATATAGATTACGATTGGGAATAATATCCTTGATGGCACCTTCCCTATATAGATAGATTCTAAAAAAATAATTTTCGCATTTATTCGATATTTCGTTTTTTCTTTTTTCTTTTTTTTTTTTTTGGCGATAGTGATCATTCGTTGTCGATCGATCTTCGAAGATTTTGCTATGGTCACATCCCTTTTCTTTAACACTTAATAATAGCATTTTTATTTTTTTTTTATGTTGCATAATACCCCAAAAGTAACTTTACTAGTAGAGTAATTATAGTTTAACTTCAACGTGCATACTTCTATGCACTATAATAAAAATTATGTCTTCACTGGTGCCGGTAGGGCATTGTATTCTAATTTGCAATTTTTCGTAATTTAATTAACCGCCGAAAGACTTCATTTTCGAAAAAGTGAAGGGACGAGGTTACGCAAATGTAATAAAAAAAATTTTTTTTTTTTAATATTGAATAATTCATGTTTGACACTGAGTATGTACGGTGGAATATTTGAAAATTAATGCTATATGCATCTTTGGTTATTCTTAACGAGTTAAATTTAATCTTGATTTTTTTAACACGAAATCTCAATGTAAAAAACGGTTAGCCTATTTATTAAAAGAATTATTGTTTCTCTTGGCTTTTTTATCTGTTTCAACCATTATTATCATCATTATTAATATTAATATTTAAGTACGAGCTCAGTCTCATATTCAAGCAACATTTTTGATTAATAAAAAAAATCATACTTGAAGACAGTTGAATATTTTTTTCAGATCATTAAATAATTTATATATAGTATGTAACAAAATTTTTTAGAATTTTTTAAAATACAAATTTTTGCTTATAAATTAATAAAAAATCATTTCAAATTATTTAAAACTTTATAATATATTTTTTAAAGTATTAATATAAAAAAATATAAAAAAAAATATTAAAATTATTATGTAATTTTAATTTTAAAAAATTTATTAAGTTATTTTATATAAAAATCTTAATTAATTTTATTTTTTTTTAATTATAAAGAAAATATTTATAAAATAAAAACATATCAATACCATATATAACAACCTATTCTCCATATCATGTGATCAACATGTCTATGAGAAAACACAAACTATTACAGGTCACTAAGAAAAGAGAAGTACATATCATTGAAACTTTAGTCCAGCTAATAGATAAGTATGATCAACAAAGAAAGTTATAAGTCTTATAAACCTTCTTGAATATTACTTTAACTCAAGAAACTATTATAAACCCAGTTTAGATTCAACTAGATACTCAATTATTGATAGTATCATCACTAGAATTCTGAATATTGATCACACTACTTTCATCAAAACCAATGTTTTTAGACAACATATCCTTTACTTATAGACTATAAGACAAGGAAAAGACGAAAATCTTCTAGCTTCCTTTTTAAAAGACAAATATCTGGATATTATAGAATAGATAGAACAAACACAATATATCTTATAATCATTGTCAACAAATCAGTCAATAATTAGAAGTAGTCTTCCTATTACCATAAACCACTGCATACAATACCTCGAGTATTAATCAATTTATCATATGATAAATTGATTAGTACCCAGGGGGATATTCTACTAGAAGAGGGGTAGTATAAATGGTGGGATATTTGGATAATTATTCTTGAAGACGATCAAAATATTAAATATGATATTTTAGCCCCTATTTTTTAATAATATGTATATAATACAAATTTTTAGGATCACAATTATAAGGTCTGAGAAATCCCTGTTCACTTTTGAAAATAATTACCCATTTAGTGTCTTATTATCATCTGATGAATCTTTCATTTGTCCATTCATACTGCAATTTTATTGGCTCTAACTTAATATTTTTTTTTTTTTAACCCTCTGTCACGCTAGTTATGTGTGCTTTATTAAACATTTGTAAACTGTACATATAACATGAATCGCTAAAGCTAAAAAGACTCTAACTAGCTCACTCGTCTTTGTAATTATTACTCTAAGTACAACTTTGGGAGTGATTTATCACTTCATTAGAAGTTCAGGTGAAAACCTTTTCAACTCTTAATATCATTACCTGCAGGTCACTACTGCAGATCACTCTTTAAGTTCTGACATTACTCAAAACCCAACCATCTCATCCCAAATCTAAC